GGGGGGGATACCCTACCTGGTCCCGTTCTTCTTGGAGAAGGTGCCCTTGACGCTGAGGTGACGGCTGCTGAGCTCCAGGGCAGCAAACCCGCCATTGTCCAGGGTCACAGTCTCCTCCATGTTGGCCACGTTCTTACCTAGAACCCAGAAAGAACGTTCATGAGGGCAGGCGCTTTGCCCAAGCACCCAGTGACCACCCAAGTCAGTTAGTTTACCCCCGCAGGGGCTGTGGTGAGGATGGCACCGGACCCCGGCCGGCAGTCTTCCTTTCTGTTGTACACGGGGTCGCTATGAGTTGGAATTGGCACGCCAGCACCTTGTGCCAATCCACGGAGCCCCTGTGGACCTACTGTGGATGCGTGGGCTGCGAGGCACATGGGGGGCAGTTCAAAACCAGCAGCAACTCCGAGGGAGAAAGACTGGGCTCTCTACTCCCTTAAGCAGTCACAGTCGGAAACCCACAGGGGGCGCTAGGAGGCAGCACTGACGGATGGCGGCGAGTGAGTGACAAGTGTCTGAAGTCTTCGAGCCGACATCATCATCTCTAGTCTCTCTGATGTCACCTACCTCAGTCTATCCTCCTTCACCCGGCGGTAGCCCATTGACCCTCTGAGCGGCTCCCCGACGAGCTGCCCTCCTGGGTGTGCCTCTGGGTGGTGGACTGCTCACCCCCATTCCTCTTGCTCTCCCCGTCCTCCTGGCCACAGAGCCAGCACCACCTCGCCAGGGACAACACCGCCACTTCCGCCAGAGCAGTGGCCCCTCTCATGACCGACGGGGCCTCACCACACACGGGGCCTTGATAAACACATCCACACCACTGAGCCTGCCGCCCCTCTCTCCAGGACCCCTTGGCATCCCGGGTGCTCCATATCCATGCCAAGGAGCAGAGCAGACCACGGAGGGAAGTGGGCCAGTGGGGAACACAGGGGACAAGCAGGGGCAGGGCACCACGCCCTCGAGGCAGACAACAGGAGGCAGGTGTGTGTGGCTTGGTGGTCTGGGCTGTGAGGCGAACTGGGAACTCCAGGGAAGGCTGAGAGGAGAAGCTGCAGGTGGGAGCTGCCCACAAGTCTGTCTGCTGTCGGGAAATGCTGACGTGGCGGCTTCCACTCTGCGAAGACGCAGGGATACAATCGGAGTTCCCGGCGTGCGTTAGAAGGGCGTTCAGAGGGGAAAATAAATCCCAGCTGTGTTACCCGCTTTGTGGGATGCAAGCCGACACGTCCTCTTTGTGAACCCCTTATGTGGGAGGGGTGTGGCCCTGGGGGCCCAGTGGTTACACGTGGGCTTGCTGACCACAAGGTCAATGGTTTGAAGCCTCCCAGCTGCTCCCAGGGAGAAAAATGAGGCTTGGCTTTCCACTCCCACAGTGAGTTACGGCCGAGGAAACCCGCAGGAGCGGCTCTCTGTCCTACAGACTCTCTGAGTCGGCATCGGCTAGAGGACCGTGCGTTTGAGAGATTTATCCACTGGAGCCCTGGTGGCTTAGTGGGTTACACTCTGGACTACTCTCCTCAAGGTCAACAGTTTGAACCTGTCGGCCGCTCAGTGGGAGAGAGAGGAGGCTTTCTGCCCCCGTAAAGGTTTATAACCTCGAAAACACACCTGGGCATTTCTACCCTGACCTATAGGCAGGGTCACAGTCAGTCGGAAATGGAGGGTTTTTGTTCTCTAAATATGCCACCACCAGTCTATCAGCCTGTCTTACTTGGGGGCTGCCGGGAGCTTTGCTACCTGTGTTTCCGACACCAGCAGTCACCGTGGTAGACAGGTCTCAATGGGCTCTCAGCCTAAAACTAGGAGGGAAGGCCTGGTGATCCACTTCTCCAAACAAACCCAGGAGAGCCTAATGGACCGCCGGCAGGTGCGGTGCAGGAAGGAGAGCCTGCAGGGTGGAATGCACTGAGGGCACAAGCTGAGCAATGACCTTGAAGTGCCCCCTGGGCCGGCTCCAATTTGTCTACTTGACGGCACCTGAGCGTACTCTAATCACATCCACGGAACCTCCATGTTTCAGCTGAGGGGGCCGAGGGGGGGCAGAGAGAGACCCTCCAGACTCCCAGGACTCCCAGAGCCCCCACACTCACCCAGGGCTCGCAGTGGCGACCATGCGGGGCTGGGTCCCCGCATGGCCACCCCACAAGGCCTCTGGAGACGGGTCTGCGGCTCCAGTTTCACTGCCTACAGGCGGCTGTGCACGCGCCCAGCAGACCCGGGGGGAGGAGCCAGCGCGTGGCCTGGCAGAAGGCACCCACCTGAGTTGCTGTTCTTGTATTTCTTGCTCTGCCCGTGCAGGACCAGCGCGAAGACGGCCAGCAGGACGATGATCAGGCTGGCCAGCGCCACCACCAGCAGGAACCACCACTCTCCGTAGAACGGGGCCTCCACTTGCGCTGGAGGGACAGGAGGGTCACGCTACACTACGTAGAAACCTTGAGGGGTGGGGCGGGCCACGTGGACGGGGGCGGGGAAAGGGTGTGATGGAAATGGAATCACCACGGAGGTGGTTTAACTCCTGACTGACCAAGTCCTGGAGGAACCCGGGGGCGTCTCTGTAACACGTTGTGCTGCTAACCGCAAGGTCAGCTAACCACCACGGTCCTCGACCCCCGGGTGGCAGAAGAGGCTGTCTCCCTGGAGAGGGACCCACAGGGGCAGTCCTACCCTGTCCTAGGGGGTGCCCTGAGTCAGGATCAACTTGATGGCTGTGAGTTTGGTGTTTGGGCTTCCATTTGTCAGGAGCTGTGGGTTAGGGCTTGGGCGGCTAACCACAAGGCCTGCAGTTCGACTCCACCAGCTGCCAGCTGCGCTTATAAAGTTACAATCTCAGAAACCCACAAGAGGCCGGAGGGGCGTAGGGGGTGGCTTTCTGCCCTGTGCTGCAGGGTCACTATGATTTGGAAGCAACTCGATGGAAGTGAGTTCTTTTTAAACCTGGTAGATGTGGGTCAGCTGCCAATGGACAGGTCCGTTCAAGACCCCTCCAGCAGTGATCAAGGGACTGGTGTTATAATCCACTGCTTATCTGAGAACGAAGTGAGGCTGAACTGGAGTGGTGTGTACCCAGCGGCTCTGTCCATCATGAGAACCCTTCTCTACACCAGCCAACTCCTGTTAAGACCCCTGGGCGCACATTCCCCCGGGCGGAGGCCAAGCCTGCCCACACAGCTTCTCTCCAAACCTAGACCGAGGGGAGGAGGCACCTGTGGCCAGAACCAGTGAGGCCCACAGCCCAAACCCACATGCGTGCCGGTGCGCGGGGCGGGCTTTGACCTGCTCGGAGAGCAGCGCAGACTGGGTTCTGCGAGGGGCCCGCCCCTTGGTGGCCTTGTCCGGGCTCACTTTGTGTCTCTGAGTCCTTGCTGGCCAGTCTCGCCGTCCTGCCTCAGACTGGCATCACGCAGTGCAGCCATCAAGGATGACTGTCCAGCGACATCAAACCCTCTTTTGTGGTCCACAGTCTCTGGCCAGGTCTGGGGCCCAGGATCCCAGGCACACGCTGGCTGGAAGCCAGGGAAACTCGGGCTGACAGTGGACCGTGCGACTGTTCCTCAGGACCTCGCATGCCTTTGCCTTTAACTGACCCCTGCCCCAAGTCCCCCCCCAGGAAGAAGCAAGCACGAGGAGCCCTTGAGGAAGCCCAAGGGCAACAGAAACAGCCTGGAGGAAGTGGGCTTGTTTGAGCTCTTGCCTCCTCCCTTGAGGCTTGGCCCCTCTCCTTCCTGGGAGGTCCGTGGTGCCCACCTCCCCCCATGACAGCAGACCCCATCCCTACCCCTAACGCTGTCCTGAGGGTCCCCTGTGGGGCTTCCTACCTGACACAGTGGCGGAGGGGCTGCTGGCTTCCCCGTAGCCCACGGCGTTCACGGCCACCACTCGGAACTCATAGGACACGCCGTGCCTGAGTGCGTCCAGGCGGACGGTGTAGGACGTGGCGCTTCGCGGGATGTCCTTCACAAACGTGTCCCACAAGCCTTCATCTGCAAGACAGGGCAGACGAGCCCCTGGAGCGAGCGTGACCCCGGGAGCGGCCCATGGATGCTGCACCGTCCCCTTGCTCACGGATGGGTGCTCACAGCTGACCAAGGGGAGAGAGTCGGATCCGGGGGAGAGCAGGAGGCTCTGGTGGCACTCAGGGTTGAGCGCTTCACTCTGGTGCTGCTGGCCCAGAGGTTGGCGCCTTGGGAGCAAGCCTTGCCCGTTTGCCCCTAAAAGGTCGCACAGCCGGGCCGGGTGGGGGGGGGGTACCCCACCCCAGAGAGCAACTTTCACTGCACATGTGAGGTCACACTGAGGCCGAATTGACGTCAACACACATCAGCAACAACATACACACTGCTCCCGGGAGCTGACAGAGCAAGGCCCTATGTTCACAGATCCCCAGGTGGCTCTAGAGGAGCACGGGTGGCCTAGTGGTTATGTGTTGGGCTGCTCATCACAAGGTCAGCAGTTTGAAACCACCCGCCGCCCCGTAGGGAAAAAAGACGGGGCTTTCTATGCCTGTCAAGAGTTCTAGCCCTGGAAACCCACAGGGGCAGTTCTAGCCTGTTGCTTGTCGGGGGGACTGGACTCAACGGTAGTGAGTCTGTTGTGTTTTATTTTGTGGATGCTGGACTTGCTTCCTGGCCAGTGCACTTTAGGCACAGCTACCACACGTGTGTCAGAGAGTCCTAATGGCATAGCAGGCTCTGGGCTGGGCTGTGGACCTCAAGGTCAGTCGTTTGAAACCTCGGTTTCTCTGCAGGAGAAAGATGAGGCTGTCTGCTTCCATCAAGGTCTACAACCTCCCACGACCAGGGACAGTTCTGCGAGGCCCTGAGCCGGGACCTCCTGGCATCGTGTTTCCTTTCCTTTGTGGTTGATTCTGAAACTTGCATCAGAATGATCAAGGGGGAGACGGCTGTGGGGTGGGGTGGGGGTGAAGGGGACCCATTCATTCTGCACATGCACTCTCTTTGCCTCCCTCCCTCCCCCTTCTCCCCGACACCCCTGTCTGTCCATCCATGAGTTAACAGCATCCACACACATCCAGGTGGAACCAGGCTCCACTGTCTGAACACACCCTACGCATCAGGGGATCGCACGAGATGGTGCTTCTCAGTGAGCTTATCGTCGACGGGTGGAGGGAAATCAACAAGATCATTGTGTCCTTTCAGGCTTACACCCAGGAACTGGCTCTCGGGGCTCCCAGACTTCCCATTGCAGCACCCACTACTGCTGACCTGTCTGTTTACACTGATGTGTGCTCATGCTTGACATCTTCCATCTGTCTATTTATCATCCATCCATCCACCCATCCGTCTGTCCACTCACCCATTGTCTATACAGCTCTCCGCCCAGTCATCTATTATATCATCCCTCTATTTCCTATCATCTAACCATTCAACATCTGCTGTCCACCTGTCCTTCAATCATCCATCCATCCATCTATGTATCTTTCCATCACTCCTCCTCCCCTCCAACTCTGTGCATCCATCCTTTTATCTACCACCCATCTGCCATCCATCCATCTAGCTGTCCGTCCGGCTACTGTCCTTCACCATGCATCCCTTTATCCATCCACCCATCCAGCCTATCATCTTAGATCCATCTAACAACAGCCTAACCACCCATTCTCCCACCATCCCGCCATCAGTCTGCTCACAGTTTCATCATTTCCATCTACCATGCATCCATCCTATCTCCCATTTCATGTATCCATCCATCCTTCCTTCTCCCATCCATCCATCACCCATAGCCATCTTCCTACCTCCTATCTGATCCTCTCCAGCATTCATCCATGAACCATCCACTGATTCATGGATTCATCTATCTATCTACCCGCTTACTCATCCATCTCTCTGTCTCTCCACTCTTGCAGCCCTTTGGCTGCCTTGGCAGGACCTAGTACTCCCAGCCAAAACCAAACTCCTCCCTTCGAGTCCACGCTGACTCTATGGAGATGCTAGAGGGCAGAGTAGAACTGCCCCCAGTGGTTTCTGAGCCTTTGAGTTCTTACAGGAATAGAAAGCCTCATCATTTTCCTGCAGAGCAGCTGGTGGGTTTGAACCACCTACCTTGTGGTTTGCAGATCAGTAAGTGAGAGTCCCTGGGTGGTACATATGCTTAATGCACTCAGGCGCAAAGCAAAAGCTTGGGGCTAGAGTCCCCCTGAGGGGTGCGTCAAAAGCTCTGGGCACCCCTGTCGGGGCACAGCAGCAGGCTGACTCACTCAAGTTTCCAGGTCAGAGTCGGCTCTGTGGTCTGTGGTAAGTGGTTCTAAGGGCTTTAAATGTTGAATGAACTGCAGAATGGTTTTTCTTTAACTTGATGGGTGACTTTATGCTGCAGAAGAGACTACTGACTAAAAGATAGACTCTTATGAACTGTCTGCTGCTTAATACCATTGAGATATAGGGACTCCGTGTGTGAGCTGTTCTCAGTGGATGGTCTACTCCCGGGCGAGAGTGGGGGTGGGCAAGCTGTCCGAGAGAGGCAGATACACACACAGAGGCTGAGAGAGACACACGCAGAGAGGGATGGGGAGGGAGAGAGAGGGAGACACAGCAGAGTGAAGGGGAGGGGGCAATCAGAGATACACAAACACACAGATACATAAAGATAGAGGCAGAGAGAGACAGACACAACACACACACACACACGAAGACAAGCAGTGACACACACGGGGAGAGGGAAGAAGAGATACACAGAGATAAAGAGTGAGACACACAGAGAGACACAGGGAGAGTGAGAGACATAGAGATACACACCCTCACACAGAGAGACAGAGGCATATAGAGGTAGAGAGAGATGCAATGGGAGACAGACAGGAGAGAAGTGGAGGGAGACAGAGAGACTGGAAGCCACCCTGGCTCAGAGGGCCGGTTTCACTTGGAGCCCCATGCAAGGACTCCCGCCGCTGTCCTGGATTCTTCCTGGAGCCTTTAGGAGCTGACTTTGCTCTCTCGACACTGCCCATCCCTACCCCTAACGCTGTCCTGAGGGTCCCCTGTGGGGCTTCCTACCTGACACAGTGGCGGAGGGGCTGCTGGCTTCCCCGTAGCCCACG